AATTATAGTCCACATTTAATAAAGATATTGGCCTCTAATTCTTTATTTGTGTCAGGCCTGAGTCTTCTTTAGGTATTAAAGTAATATTAGCTTCTGTCCATGTATTTGGTATTTTAGTCTCTAAAAGTACTTCATTACATAGTTCTTTCATTATAGAACTTAAAGTATCTTGTAAAGATTTGTAAAACTGCAGCACTGCCTTTTTCAAATGTGGCAAGGAGGGACACCGAGCCGTGGACTGCCGCAACAAGACACCTGCCAAGAGAGGGGATCGTCTGCTGGCCGGGAGACCCCCGAGGACCTCGTCACGCTCTAGGGAGACTGCAGTGAGATCCGAGGAAGTCGTAGAGCTCCCCTGGAATCCCAGTCAAGAGGGACAAGCTTCGACTCCACGCACAATGATCCAGGAGTGGCAGAAGACGACTACAAGGACGACCCATTGGTGAGTGGGCCAATTGACCCCATAACAGTGCCCCTAAAACTCTGCATACCCGGCACTGGGAGGACAGTGAAATTAGCAGCCTTGCTGCACTCAGAGTGTATCCGGTGCATGATTAGCCCAGAACTAGTGGGGATTCCCCTCAGGAGAATTAAGACTCCAATCACTTTTTGCCAACTGGATGATTTGGTTGCAGTGGGAGTGTGTGCCAGTTTTGCCATCAGACCCTTATACATCAACCTGGGCGATCACACAGAGACTTTAATGTTTATTGTGGACCCAGGAATGGAGTAGCCATTAGTTTTGGCACTGATTTGGCTAAAGAAGTGGAACTCCATGATCAACTGGAAGGAAGGGCAACTGAGATTCCCGCAGGAGGAAGCCCCACCCATCACTAAAGAAAACGACGGGAGATGTGGATTATGTGGTGATTTTGCCTCCACCCTCAGTGAGACTTTCAAAGTCTCCCAATGGAATACTGAGATTTGGCTGAAGCCTTCAGCAAGCAGAGGGCAGATGAACTCCCCCGCCAGCCCACAGACTGTGCAATTGAAATCATGCCAGGGGCGAAACTTCCAAAACCAAAAATATACTTGATGACTCCTAGGGAGTTGAACGAACTGAAAATAATTATGAAAAAGAAGTTAGAGCAGGGGTTTATTGAGCCAGCTAGACTCCTTGTAGCAGCTCCTGTGTTATTCAGAGAGAAGAAAGATGGCTCTCTTCGTCTCTGCATAGATTATAGAAGCCTGAATGCTGTGTGCATGGAAAACATGTATTCATTATCTTTAATGAAAGACATGTTAGCGCACTTATCGAAAGGAATTTTTTTTCTCAAAGCTGGACTTGAGAGAGGCTTATTATCACATAAGAATAAAGAAAGGAGATGAGTGGAAAACTGCCTTCAATTGCCCGTTGGGTTGCTTCCAATTTAAAGTTCTCCCATTTGGATTACAGAGGGCCTCTGCAGTATTCATGCAGCTGATCAACGAAGTCCTACATGATCACTTGTATAAAGGGGTCCTAGTTTACTGGATGATATCCTTATTTACACTGAGACAAGTGATGAGCACGTTAAGCTAGTCAGAGCGGTACTGAAAAAACCGCTCTGCCAAATTGTATGCCAAACTATCAAAATGTGAATTTCAAAAAGATCGTATTGATTACCTGGGTTATCGCATATTAAATGAAGGGATAGAGATGGACTTAGAGAAAGCGAGGGCAGTCTTGGACTGGGCTCCTTCAAAAACCAGGAAACAACTCCAAAGTTTCCCAGGACTTGCAAATTTCTACAGACAATTCATCCCATCTTTTGCACAGATTGCCCCCCCCCCAATTACAAACCTATTAAAGATCAGAGGGGGGGGGGATAAGCCAAAGTCCAGTCAACCATTAAAATAGATGGGAGAATGTCAAGAGGTTTTTGAAAAACTTAAGAGACTTTTTTCTGTGGAGCCGATTTTGAAACACCTGGACCCAGAACAACCCTTTATAATTCAGGCTGATGCCAGTGATGTGGCTGTGGGAGCAGTTTTGCTCCAAAGAAATAAAGAGGGACAATTACAACCTTGTGCTTACATCTCAAGGAAATTGTCAGAGACTGAACAGAGGTGGGCAGCTTGGGAGAAAGAGGCCTACGTTGTACGGTGGGCTTTACTAACTTGGAAACATTTCCTTGAAGGAAATAAAATACCCTTTCAAGTGTGGACATAAGACCCTTGAAGCCATGAAAACACCCAGAAAACTCTCCTCTAAACAAGCAAAGTGGTCCCAATATTTCCATCTTTTTAATTCTACGATTCATTATCTCCCTGGTGGGAAGAATTTTCTAGCTGATGCATTGTCCAGGTTACCACAGTATAACAGTAAGAAAGCAGAAGTGGCCAAACCATTTCTACTGCCTCATTAACTAGCAGCTTCTGGGACCACCAGAGCCCAATCAAAACCAGTGGGTCCTGTTGTAAAGACTTTATTACAGGAATTTAAGACTGCCTTAGAAACAGATGAATGGTTTCATAGCCATAATAACCTGCGTGTATTAAAAGAAGGTTTAACGTGGGTTGGAGAGAAACTTTACGTCCCCGCAACCTTGAAACTTAAAGTGATGCAAGCAGGATACAATTTGAAAACTGCTGGTCACTTTGGATTTGTAAAAACTTTACATCCAGTTAAGCGCATCAACAACCCTGTGACAGTTGAATTAGACCTGCCAAAGAATCTACGGAAAATCCACCCTGGTTTTCACTGCAGCTTGCTCAAACCTGAAATCACCTCCAACATCAGGCCTCCTGCACCCCCCAGTGCCCATGCCTATCATGGTTGAGGGAGAACAACATTTTGAAATTAAGGACATTTTAGACTCTCGAACGGACCATGGGGTGACACAGTACCTAGTAGCTTGGAAGAATCTCCATTCTGCCCAGAATGAGTGGGTGTACAAGAGATATGTTAGAGCCTCTAAATTTCTACAATGTTTCCACTCTCAATATCCTGATAAACCTAATTGATTCGGTTTTTAATTTTGCCTATTATCCTATCCTCTCCAATTTTGTTGGATTACATTTATATCTATGTGTATTTTATCAAAAAAGTGACAGAGGACTCTTCAATCTTATCACTGGAACACCGTGCATCCACCCCTGCCCCTTTCTCAGGCTTGGCGGGTCATGAGAACACCACCTGGGCATTCATCAAGGTTGTAATAATTTGTATAGAATTTCTCCCTATAAATGGTATGTTATTGTTATTTAAACTTAAAGGAGAATGCACTCTTTTACTATCTTTTCTGGAAGGAAGATTGTTTCAGGGTGCATTAAATTTGTTTTTTTTTCTCCTAATGCTCCATAAATGACTTTTAATCAATTAACATAAATTGTATGTGTTAAATCTAATTAAAGTAACTGTAAAACACTTAAAACATAAAAAATAAGTATACCTGTGTAAAGTTTGTTTCTTTTTTAACATATGTAGACATGTTAATAATTTATCTTCATTCAAGCAATATATAAAGGTGATGTAATGAAACAAAACTTTAAAAAAACTTTTCAGTCATTTATGCAACAAAAAAACCAACAGATATGCTATTTTCTGCATGGAGAAATTAAGTAAAATATCTTTGAATATTTGGATATCTGGAATTGCCCGCATGCTCCCCCCCGCCCTTGCAGTCCCTGCCAGCCATATACAATCCCTGTCGCTCCCTCCAGAGCCTCCAAGATGCCTACCATCCACTTGCCGCCCCCCCCCCCAACAATACCTGCCACCCACTGCCCTGATTGGCTGCTTGGAAGTGTGGCTATTTGTCCCCTGCACCAAATCCAGGGAATGGGCTGGAACAATGGGCTGAGGCTGGAGGGAGAATCGCTGGGAGAGAACCAGCAGAGGAGGAAAGGCTGCTTTGTTTCAGCTGTGGCGGATGGCCAGGAGTGAGATGGGTGCAACCAAGGGGCAGTGTCTAATTGTCCCAGACCTCTCTGAGAATGAAGGATTTTCTTAAGCTTAGGATGAACTACCCCCTCTCTCCTACAAAGAAAGTTTCAAACATAGTCCACATAAGTTGTCAAATATCTTTATTAATTGCAAAAGTTATGCAGATAAGCATTCTGCAGGTTGGGTAGTGCAGGTTTTACAATGAAAAATTGTTAGTGCTACCTCAGCTCATACCCTTGATTAGTTCTGATTGTGCCTTCTGAACTTAAGCTAATGACCAAGGGTCGCTAAAACACTAGAAGGATAAACTATTCTCCAAAGCAAAAAAAGAACATTACTATCTGTCTATAAATAAACTTCAAACACATAAATAATTAAGGATCAGAACTGGTTCCTTTGCAAATAGCTAGGGTTCCATCCTAACACACAATGTCTCTTTCTCTACTTCTCCCATTTTTGCTGCTTGGTCTTTATACAAGGGCAATTCGGAAATAAACCTCCTTTTGGTTATCAATGGTAGACACTCGCAGATACAAAACTTTTATTATACACATTAGTCACTCGGCGCCAAATCTGGGCTATGGGGGGATGATCAAAAACATCCCAACGGAACTGCTTCAAAAGTTCTTGGGTGCATCTAGCGGTGTCTGGACGAGCATTATCATGAACCAACACCACACCGGAAGTCAGCATGCCCTGATGCTTGTTATGGATGGCTTGTCTGAGTTTTCGTAATGTTTCACAATAGATTTCTGAATTACTGGTCAAACCACGCTCCATGAACTTCACTAGCATTACTCCTTTGGCATCTTCATATTTGGCAGGATTTTCTATGGCACCACTTCCAGTGTGCTGGTTCATGATAATGCCCACATACTGCTAGACGTACCCAAGAACTTCTGAAGCAGTTCCATTGGGATGCTTTTGATCACCCCCCATATAGCCCAGATTTGGCGCTGAGAGACTTCTGCTAAGGAATTTCAAACCTTGTAAGATGTTATGACAAGTGCCTCAATTTGAATGGCGATTATGTCAAAAAATAATGTAATGTAGTAGTTTTCTAATGTGTATAATAAAAGTTCTGTTATCTGCGAGTGTCTGTCATTGATAACCAAACGGAGGTTTATTTCCGAATTGCCCTCGTAGCAAAGAGGACACATTGGTTGGCAAACAGTAATATTTTCCATGTATGCGTATGTGACAGATACCTACATAAACAACATACTTCCATATCCATTCTGTTCTGTTCTGATATTAGTAGGGTCATAATTTGACAGATTTCTCAAGAATACAAACTATTTTTAAAAAACAACACTTTAGCTTCAGCTAAATATATTGGACCCTATGTCAGCCGCTAGGAAGAACTTGCTGCTGACATCTGCTTCAACAAGGGACTAGCTCTGAACAGTGATGAAACTTTATGTAGGAAAGCAATCCATAGCTGGTAAGAATCTTGGCTCTCAATCTAGGAGTCATCATTCTACATTTAACAGCCATGTTCAAAAATATGCCTGATTTTTTTTTAACCTCCCTGAAGAATTTGTTTATTCCTCCAACTGTTCAGCCATTAATAGTGAATTGTAAGTTGGACCTTTAAAAATGAACTAATAACTGCAAAGGCTGGAGGGGACATGACAAAATTGTGTTCTGTCATGTAAAATAATGGCAGCAAAGATATTTCCTCAGAATACACATAGTTGAAGTGAAATAAAAGTGAGGGAGAAGCAGCTCTGTCTTTTTAAAGCACAGCCATTAAAAATGGAAGAGGGAACAGAATACCATCTCCTGTCTGGGGAGCATACAAAAGAACATACAGCCACCTCATCCTCAAAAGAATGCAGTAAAAATGGGCTAAGCAGGAGGATAGTTGGCTAGAATAAGCTCTCACGGTTGATCTTTTGCTTCAGTTTCTTTATCATAGATGTAGCTTCCAACTGCACCTGTGTTCACTCCTACAAAAGAAAAAAAAAGTCAGTAGAGGAGGAATTAAGGGAAAAGAGGCTAAGGGAAAAGAGGAAGTGCAAGCCAGTTTGGGGGGTCATTTTAATTTATATGACCTTGAAAACCAATAGTGAATTCATTATTGGAAAATAAATGTTTATATAGTATATAAGTAAAGTATCAGCAGATTCGAAAGGTTTGAAAATGCAACACGTTTTGAAAAAAACCTATGATGAGAAAAATAAGACAATACAATAAGAATTAAACATACTCAGAGGCCACATAATTTTGACTAAGAAAGAGGCAATGCGATAAAATGAGGTGTCTGTAAAAAAGGCAACCTTGGTTAGTATCTTGATCAAAGAAAAGTATAAGTTATATTTTTCATGAGTATTTGCAGAGTAGGATCAGATTCATGTCAGCAAGACAGCAACATATACTCTGTCTCTTTGTTTTGCATGTTATGATGTGGCAGACTTGCCTCAAAAAACTGGAGCTCATTGGAAAAACATTTTGATGAAAACAGCAAATTCCTATGGCTTGTATTTGCAATAGCAGAATGCTTTCATTTATCATATTTATCATAATTACCGTATCATTATCATGTGCTTTCAAACTTTAATTTAGTATAACATTTCAATTATACCTTAATCATACTTTGAGGTTTTTCATCAAAATAAAATTGTATCAAAATTTATTTCATTTATGGTGAAATTATCCAAAATATGTTACAGAAAGTTTTCATCGGATATAGCCAATATCATATCTTCTTTAAAACTTATGAACATGTCCAAGGACAATGTTACAGAATCCAGTTTGGGTCAGTCACCAGGACCAGAGGTTTTGTCTTCCGAGCTTTTGGACTCATGCTAGAGTCCATACTCAGGGAACTTCTCTGTGTGCTCTGGGCTGTTCTGTATATGGTATTTACAGGTAGTCCCCAAGGTATGAATCAAATTTATTAATTAAATCAAAGGGTTGTTAAATGAACAAAGATCTGACTTAGTATTTCCTCCGATAGCTGCCCTGTTAACTGAACTGGGAGGATTTCCCGCCAGCCACCGATCAGCTGTTTCCGGTGGAGGGCTTGCAACCATCCTCCTCCAGGGCTTCCTTCAATTTCTGGGCAAACTCACTATCAGCTGGCTGAGGGAGAGCTGGCAAAATTAGCCTCGTAGAGCCTTGCGCTGCTAGCTGCCCAGAGGGAATGATCGAGTTAATTATCTCTTCCCTAAAGCTCTTGTACTGGGACAGGCAAGAGAGTGTGTCTGCCAGGAAGTTTTTCCCCCGGCAGGTATTGAAGAGTAAAGTTAAATCAGTGGAAGCACTGGGCCCATCAGACCTGCTTGAGGGATAGCTTGCAAGCCATCACAATTATTTTTAAAAAAACAACTGCTGCTAGCCAGCTCAAGCATGCACACACACACACACACACACACCATTGCTTTAATAAAAACCACTAGCTTAAGAGCCAGCCAGGCACCCAGAGGGAGATGGGGGAGGGATTTGCAGAACTCTCGGCTTGCAATAATAACAGATGCAAAAGACCTTGAGGTCAGCTAGTCTAACTCACTGGTCTCACAAGAGAGTATTTCTGATAAATGCCTATCCAGTTTCTTCTTAAAAGCTTCCAGTGATGGGGCATCCACAACTTCTGGAGGCAATTTAAATTTAAAACCTACAAATTACAGTAATATATGCTATTTTGGGCTACTCTCTACTTGGTGGAAATTACAACTGTTTTGAAATTTGCTGACTATCTTGGATTAAAAACATCAACTGAACTTTAACTTTTGACTTAATGCCTCTTGGTTATTTTTATCGGGGAGAGACCAAAGGATTGATTGTAAGGTGGCTGGACACTTTGAATTACAAGATTGGTTGACTGATAATTTTTGGATTCTTGGATAGAAGAGTGTGACAAAATACCTCTTGTTGGTGGTGGACTTATATTTTGGAATTTATTGGATTATAAAGGCTACATATAAACACTATAAGAACTATATGAGATGATTTTAAACCTAAATCTAAATTTAAGTTGTATATTATTGTATTGACTATAAGGTTGGTCGTGTTAGATAAGACTAGCATTTGGGAAATACAAATAGAGGGCGGGAACAAAAATGAGTGCTACACACTTGGCTAAAGTGGTAAAAAATCACCCTAAATATCTGCCTCGGAAGCCCCCAATTTGGTACACCAGAGACAAAGAACTAATAACTTTTAGAAGGAAATGCAATTCATATTGCAATCAATTCAAGAGGCAACTGAGTCACATAAAGAAGACTCAAAAAGAAATCAATGAAATTAAAGAGAACTTGAATAAGATAAATGAGTATTTTAATAAGATAAATGAGCAAGTTTTTACAACTTAAATTCACAACTAGGGAACCCCCAGAAAATGATTATAAAGAATGAACAGGGAACTCAGAAAATAGAAGATAAACTAGAAGAAACTGATCCAAAGACAGAGGATATAAAAGAAGGAAACCACAGACTGGCACAAAGAAAAACATTGAAGACTTAGAGATAATACTAGAAATGGAAAAGTAACATCATCTCTCAAGATTTCAGAATACATCTGAAGATATGGAAGAAGACCATATAGAACAGACTATAGAGCCTTCAGGAGAAGTGTTAGAAACTGGGAAACAAGACAAGAGAAGCTGAGGGAGGAGGAAAATTGGAGTTTTTTCGATGAATATGAATAGGTTGAACTCCCCTTCAGAAATATCTTGCCCCCCCACTACAAAGAGTACTCATAAAAATAGAGAAAAAATTCTTTAACATTTAAATACACAGATTTGGAAACCTATCTGGCAAAGGAAAAAAGCTAGAGTTAGACTAAAGAAAATAGAGGACTTGATCTATTGGATGGGGCCCTATACTATCAAACAGGTATTTGAACACAACTAGAAAAAGATAACCTTTAGATATTAAAAGATTATCATACTTAGAAAGGCATGATTTATATTTAGGATAGCACACTTTTCTATGAGATGGGAAACATGAAAATAACAGGATGGCTTTTACGCAGCCTAATGTAATCATTGTTGAGAAAATCATAATTTATAAAGACACTTTGAATACTGAAGGGAAAACAAAATTGAAATAAGAGCTGGAAAAACGACATTGATTTAATAAGTGGATCTTAATTGCAAATATAATTGAGATATGTGTTGGCTAGAAAAGATGTTATAAACAAATACTACTATTATTATGTATAACACTAGATAAGTGTTATAACACTAGATGAGGATTTTGCATGTATTAATAGTAGTAAGAATTGTATCTGCATAGTGTGAGAAAAATAAAGAAATATTACTGGAAGAGGAGAGGATCAAGAAAGCACTGGATTATGTTGTATTGGACTATTCTACTATTGAGTAATAAATGGACCCAGACAAGACATTGTTTACTAGGCACTGATGATTTGTAAAAACAGAAAATTAATAAAATATTCATTAAAAAAAACCCAGAATGTGTAGAAACCGACAGAGTGATATTGAAGAGCAAAGAAAAAGACACAGAACAATTTTAATATGTATTGTTAAGTAAAATATGAACCCAGACAACAAGTTGTTTACTACGCACTTAAAATTTGTAAAAATAGAAAATCAATAAAACTTTATATATAAAAAAAAGACTAGAAGGGACCTTGAAGGTCTTCTAGTTCAATATCCTGTCCAGGGCAGGAGACCTTGTAACATCCCAGACAAATGGTTGTCCAGTCGCTTCTTGAAAGCCTCCAGGGATGGATCACCCACAACTGCTGGAGGCTTGATCTTGTCATCCTGAAAGATGCTGAGATATTTCTAGTGATCTTCATCCAGACCAGACATGTCAAACACAAGGCCTGTGGGCCAACTCTGGCCCGCCATATGGTTGCATCTGGCCCATGGAGCTGCACTGGAAACAACAAAGGACCGGCCTGCAGCACCTCGGCCTGGCCCAGGCCAACCAGGCGCTGATCTACAACCAGATGCTAGCCATCAAAGCCAGAACGTGCTCAGCCTTAGATCCATGGGACAGCCCTGGAACCAGTGACGGGCGCCCCCGCCCCCTGGGCGTGCGTGCAGGAGATAGCGAGCAGGCAGAGTCCAGCATCCCTGCTGGCTGTCTTGCCCCGGAGGCTGACTTCATCCAGAATGGCAGCACTGGCCTCCTCCTGTGCACACACTCAGAGGTAGAGGCGATGGGGCGGCCCCTCGCTTGTTCCAGGGCTGTTCCATGGATCTAAGGCTGAATGCGTTCTTGCTTTTTTTTTGTAACAAATTTTATTAGTTTTCCAATTTTAACATCCAAGTATTTAGAAAGCAATGTGGTGACTGGGTAATCAATAATTCAATAACAGCATTTTTAGTACATATCTCAGGTTACATTGTTAAAAATTCCTTCTCTATTTCCCATTAACATTTGATATAACAAAGTTAAACTGGTAAATTTCTAGCCATAGCAAGCACAATTAAAACATTTATCAATCTGTCTTTTGTTTATACATATCCATATGCTGTTTTTAACTTTTACCTAATTTTTAATTCCTAATTACAGTATTCCAATTTTAACCTTTAACGTCTATAATATTCAAATTTCTGGTAACCCAAATTTTCTTTATTTCACTACACAAAAGTTATGATATCTAAAATATACATATTACTTACTTAAATATATTCTATTTTTATTTCATAGATATTTTCTAATTCTCATCCTGATATATCACAGCTTACTAATAGAGTAACCTTTATTGTCTCAAATCCATCCATCTATATTTTCAGGGCTAAGGGTATTTCCTGATATTTAATTTCCATTTCCCTTATAAATCTATACCCTAATTATTAATCCAACAACATTTGAATCTAATAGTCATATTTCCCTTCATCTCCAAGTCTCCCTTTAGCCCATTAGTCGAGACTTTAGAATCTCTCTTAGTAAGTCAGAAGGCCCCAGTTTTTAAACCTAACTCTAGCTTTCTTTTTCTGCCAACCAGGTTTTCATACCCATATCTTTAAAT